CTCCCAAGGGACCAAAAACAAGAACCCGAGCAAAAAATGAGCACTGTAAGTTGCAAAGGTTAGAACAGAATGATTTCAAGGACTATGAAGAAGGCGCTATCACAAGATGGGGGGGGGCATTGTGGCCGGCTCATACTCCAAGAATATGCGTAAACACTCCCTTTTTGTCCTTCCTTCTCCCAGGCTTAGTCCCCGTGGAAGGATGCCCCCCTATCTAGCGGCAGCCCCTGAAAAGCTTTGAGAATATGCAAAGAATATTGCAAAAGCACATCAGCTGTTTTTGTTTGTTTTGGTCTCCCCATCGGCGATGCGGGGCGATGAAAACGCATGTGCAAAGGGCGATAAAACAACAACATATTTCTGGAATGAAGACGTCGCAGGAATTTTAATGCGGGGTGATGACGCATTTGTGGGACTGCTGATGAAATCCGGATAACAAATCGAAGAATTTCTGCAGTGATGGGAATTTATAAATCGGTCAGAGGCCACTGTAAACCCGGCAAGAAAGTAAAAATCCAGGGAAGAGCCCAGTTTTTGCTACCGAGCTTTCTTAGACCTCCAGGAAGGCTGTGACCAGAGGAATTTTGCGAATTATCTTGATAACTTGAAAAGATTTGAGTTTTGGAGGCTAACTTGAAAAGCCTTAACCTTCAGTGGTGAAGGCTCCACTTTAGGATACGCCACGAATTCTGCTGCCATTTAGAATTCTTACTTAGTTGAGAAGCGGATATCAATTTCTTGAGCTACGAACAGTAGAAAGACTTTAAAAAGCACCAGCCCAAGTAAAACCACCAGGAATCGCCTGGAGAAAAGTTTGTAGGCGGAAAATGAAGATATCACGTTATAGGTTTTAAAATTCACAAACGACAATCAGGGCTATCACGAGAAATTCACCAATAGGTATTGAATATTGAAAACCTCAAAGGCGATACGGTATTGTCCATTGTCGACGGAAAAGGCGGACAGACGAATAGGCGATTCGGCGAGCAGAAAAGGATAATTATCGGTTAGGCGAATAAGGAAATAGGCGAGTAGGTGACTGCCGTTGGGATCGACAAAGCGTTCAAAGGCAGAAGAAGTAGGATCGATACCTATTCAACTGTTTCCGTCAATCCTCCTATTCCATGATTCTCCTGATCGCTTATTCACCCGATCGATATCTATTCAATCCTTTTCGCTTTATTCACTTCGAGCAAGATCAATGGAACACCGTCCGTTCAAAAGTGCTGTAGGACGGTAAACAAGGAGGGTTGGCACTAGTAGCATGACTTACACTGGAACGCGGAAAAGGGACGCTAGCCCGAGGTAAAACTCGAGGCGAGCGGAGCCCTCCTAGGCTTAGTTCTATAGGATGCCCCCCTGCCTTGCGATAGCGCCCATATTTAATCCAGGTTAGCTGATGGACGTCATTGGAGCAGAACGAGCGAAAAGCAACACTGCTCCCACTTCTTGGCATGTGCAGGGTCGGTCCTATCGTTGGGACTTTTTGCAAAATTTTTACGACCCCCTCCTTCACGACAGATTTCATACGACCCCTTTCCTCACAACTTCTTTTTCCCTCGAAAAAACCCCGTCGCAGGGGGAGGGACCTCCAAGGGACATGCGAAGGGTTGGCCGCTTCCGTGGTGTTTGTTGAACCACACCGGCTTGCAGAAGGTCCTTTTCGAGCGGCTGGGCAGAAACGCTCGGGTGCCTAGATCAGGGCTTCTTCAATTTTCCACTATTACCTTCACAAAAGTACAACAAATATTCCAGGAGATGACCAATTAAGTATCCCTCTTTATATGGTTAAACCTAGTGACAACAACTGAGTTAGAGAAATACGCTAAATGGAGGGCGTGAGGCTATCCTAGTAGCCCTCAACGAACATCTGGCACTTGCAGACAAGCGCACTGGAATTCACTGAAAGCTCGGGCAAAACTAACAGTTTGTCCATCGCGAAGCATCCGACACTCACAGGGAACGAAGTTGGCTAATTGGTACCTTTGGATGCGCCACGACCATAGAGGAAGGGAAATACGAACAGAGTGGTCAGAATCGGGAGACGATAATAAGCTGTTTAGGGAAAGCTATGAAGAAAACATCATCTAGCTTAATCAGCGGAAGGAAAGCGTATAGCGAGCCATACCTAACGTGGCCACAGGGAATATAGTCAATCCTTGGGGTTCGAGTGTGCAGAAATGGCGCCCAACAAGATTCGTAGGTGTTTGTCTCGGCTGTTTACGCCAAGGTGTTCACAGACTGTATTGTACAATGATTAGTAGGGCGAAAGTTGGTTTGTTGCCAAACTTGGGATGATGAGGACAAGATTTCAACACAGAAGATAGTAGAAATATCAGGAAAGAGCGAGCATATGCTAGACTTAGAATTTCACCAATGCTCTCTTAAGCGCCTCGTGCCTTCGATACAGCGCTGCCGCAAGACTATCTGAGCGGCCGCCTAAGTGCGGAGCACGCACTTATTCGGCTCGCCAAGGTTTTCTGGGGATAGAACGTCAGAAAGCACGCAATCGCAAAAATGAAAAAAAGGGGGAAACAACTGGAAAACAAACGGCGGTGATAATCTATTTGGGCTGCAAGAAAAAGATAAACAAACTGCCAGTCATAAATCGTTCTTTCTGCTCAGACGATGGGATAAAGCTATCAGGCTTGAGCCTGGTGATGAGGAAAATGTGCGAGTATGACCCTCACCCCTTGCCCGGGGAGGATTACCCAACGAGCGTCTGATCCTGAAAGATCATGTTCGCCTTCTCTTTCGGCTAAAGAGGCGAATCACAAAATCGCAATCAAGTCAAATGCATGGCTCACTCCTTCTTGCATGGCTGCTACCGCCTCAGCTGGTACTGTATTTCACCGTCCCTCGGAACAGAACCGAGATTTTGAGGACTTCTCGCTGCCACCTCCTTAGCTGGTACTGTATTTTAACCCCACTCCACCCCTCGGAAGAGAACCGAGATCCGATCGATTCTCCGGTGATGCGCTATTTTGCAACAGAGTCCAACGTGGCCAAGCCTCGGCGGCTTTCCTGCCAGAAGCAATTGCAGGCCAGGATGTTTATCATGGCTTGAGGATAATTCTGAGTTCCTCTCTGAGTGTTTGCTATCTTTTTGAAGACCGCGACGACAACATGAAAACATTCTATGGCATGGAACAAAGCGCAGGCACAATTGGAAACGTTCAAAGCATATCCCGCTGAGCGTGAAAAATTCTATGCGCTACTGTATTTAAAATCAGACACAACACACAGGAATGTTGTCGATAATGCATAAAGAAAAGTCTTATCAGACCAGCGACGTGCAGAACGCCGGCCATGAACAGGCTGACGCTACAGCGTTACTGCTGAAAGTTCAATGATTCCTTGAAAAATGCCAATGTACAGTCTCCGAGAGATCGAAAAAGAGAACCTAAGGGGAAGTTCAATGTTGGAAGTTGCGCGTCACAGTGTCCCGCATGTTGCGCGCCACATATCCCGCGCAGTACTTCACAAAATAGTATTCAAACCTCATCGAATATACGGTTTCCATCTAAAGGTGCATAGAAACAAGCTTCTTATACTCCAGTCACATTGCTACACCCAAAGCTCGTATTTTTTACTTAAATTTTTTGAGGAGAAAGGCGCAAAATCAGCAAGCTTCAAGCTGGACCAACGTTCAGCATCATTTCGAACCTCCCCCCCCCCCGGAAATGGGATAGAAATCACCCATTTCTAACCCCCAGAAGAATGAGCTACCTATAACAGAGGGTAGTCATTTTTCAAAAGGGGCAGGGAATCCCGCGAAAAAAAAGGAGCACCGTCATGTACCCTGGACTTCTCCCAACTCCTTGTAGGTTTGAAGTGCAGTCCTGTATTGAGCGAAAAAGGAAATGTTTCAAGCGGGTTCAAGGGCACTGCCACCGAAATGCCCCCACATCTTGCGATTGCGCCTTCAGGACAGTTTTCTCTAGCATATTCACAATTACAGCACCCCAAAAAGCCTCTCATTTCACTTAATCACAGAATTAATTCGAGCCCAAGCACAAAATCAAGCGATTCAGTACAAAACCACGTCAACCCCTCGCCCAAAAAGGGGTTACACATGATCCATGATCACTCTCTTCTCAGAAATGAGTTCATCTATAGCCAGAGGTGAGAAGAGAGAAAAGCAAGAAAAATAGGGAGTCGGTGTGAAAAGAGAAGACAGAACAGCTCAAATGAGCTATTCAGCAAATTGAAGTCAGTCCTGCATGATTTTTGAGTGGCAAAAAAACTAAAGAAAAAAAACCAACATAAAATACGAGCTAAAAATAGCAGAAAAGGAGTCTAAGAAGGTTTCTCAAGAAGTAGACGAGACTTTTTGGGGCAAACAAAAACTAAATAACCCTTTAAGAGGCCACGTAGCGCCCGTTGGCCAACAAATAATGAGAAACCCTCTGAAGCGCCATCGTCGAGTCCAGCGCCGGCTAACAAAGCTCATTTGCTAGTCCGAAATGTTGCGATTCTCAGGCTTGTCAAGCTCACGGAAAAAACCTAACGACAAGTCGTTAAGGTTCATTTACTCGAGTACTTTCAGCTACTTTGCGCTTTTTCACCACTAACTGTTATCGCAATGGTCCCAACATGGCCGTTCCGGCTTGGCCATAGACGGGAAACCCCCCGATGCCCCGTCGCTCGAGGAAAACATTCGAAAAACTGTCCAATTTCATTTCATCAATTAATCAATCAATACACACACGAATAACAAACGATTGGCGGCTGCGTTCCATCGCTCTGCAACGGCGCCAGCAGTTAGTTAATACGAGGGGGAAATATTCCTCCTATTAATCTCGTCGAGAGCAGGGTGATAATTGAGGAACGACACAGAGCATAATTTGTGACGGCGGAGAGCCAAGCACACCACCGCCGAGGAATTTTTTACGAATAAAAATGATTTTTAACGAGAAAAAATGGAAAGAAAGCGAATAAGAAGGATGAAAAAGGCATGGTAAACGAAGGAAAAGGGTAGTTAGAGTGATCGACCCACCATTTGCTTCCATGGAGACCTCGCCCAGCCATTGCTTGGTCGTTTCCCGAGTACGTGGTAGTTCCTCGTCAAACGGGAACGACGGTGTACTCAGCTGCCATTCCCGTTTAAATATTTGACTTGTTTCAGTGAAGTAATTCTTAATAGCGTACAGTGAAAAATAGCAGTGAGACGATGAGACGTCCGATTCCTGGCTTTCACTGTCCTTTGGCAGTTTGTTCACTGCCCGTCGCTTGTCGTGGTAGAAAAATATCATTTTCAGATAGTTCAGGCAAATAGACGAAGCATTTCGGGGAGGGTGATGAGGCATGGTGGACCTTCCTCCGCCGGGTTTTGGTAGGCTACCAGCTGGTACATGGACACGGCCAGCTGACGATACGAGCCTTGCATTCTGGTCAGGAACGGATAGGTTTTCTTCAGGTTCAACACGGATGGCATACCGGCTGTGGTAAGCACCGGGACGCCGCCGTTCAACCCCGCGGAGACCTTGGTGACAGTTGCTAGGCCATAGCTGTCCGCGAACCCTAAGATGGCGTCCAGACGACGTTCGCAGTACGCTTGAACCATACCGACGGTAGCGTAACGTTCAGCCAAGTTCGTGTCTTCCCAGTAGCGATCGTCCCAGAAGGTAAGATTTACCCAACCGGGAGGCATCCGACCCGATCTGACCACATCTTCAACGGCAATGTCGATGACAGGTCGAGCTCGTTCAATGGTCAAACCGAATTTGTCGTTGTTTGATTCCTTTGCCGGTAGTACAACTAGAATATTGTAGGGTAGTACGTGACCTCGGGTTGATGTCGAGGTCGGGGCCATGTGGGCAACATGCTGCAGTACAGCGAACAGTAGAAGTATCCCCGTCGTTTTCGTCCTAGAGGAGGTGAATAGGAGGCAAGTGCTGAGCATAGCCTCATATGGACATGTGGGGCAGAACGTACCGAGAATAAAGATAGCCTTGGCGAACCGGGGGGATTGGCACACGGGTTTGTCGAGCTAGTGAAGGAAACCAGCAGACGACACAGGGGTTAGAGAGCACGGGAGGCAGCAAACACACACGTAGCAACACAGCCAGCCGCCCCAGCGAAACACGGGGTGTCTGCGTGCTTGCCGACACATAGGCGGCCCGCTCCACCCCGCTCTTGCCTCTCTGCGCTATCGCCCCGTCGTCGTTCAGGTACCCCCGCGTGGTATTGATATCATTCACCCACCCAGCACTGATTGCCCATGGTCACATCCGCTATGTGTGTGTGAAGGGATCAGAGATTGGGTCGGGGCGAACATCTGACCCGCCGAGCGCGACTCACCGCGTGGCCACCCCATTTTCAGGTGTCAGCTGAAGAACAGCGCTAGAATACGCTTTTATATAAACACGGATCAGTCCACCGACAGCCGGCCAATGCAAACAGTTGCCCTGCCCAGGGCTGGAGCTAAATCAACCACGAAAACGTCATCAACTGTTATGTGCCTGAGAGTTTCCCCGCTTCGGAAAGGCGAAACTTCATTCTTCAGGAAGCAAGCTGAATCGATTCTTCGCACGGTGTTTGCCCAATCAAGTAGCCAAATTAGTATGCGAAAGAACCCCAAGTATTCGTCTGGGAACTACTTTTCGACTTGCCTAGAGGCAACCAAGCGCTGAAAAACGCGGATTAGGATGCTGAAGTCCAGGCTTCACCAGGCTGAAGCTCTGAAAGTCGAGGGCACAAAATCGCGTCGAATCGCCCTTTAACAAATCGATTGCTCGATTTCAAAACATCTCCTGCCCTGTTCTTTACTGATTATTTCAAAAGATAACCGTTCAGAATCACTCGGGACAGTCATCAGTTAGTGACCCACCAAATACGGTATTATTTTAGACTTTCCGGCCAGAAATAGCCGTTGAGCCCTTTTCAGGTGATACCACGGGGTTTATAGCTCCATTTTACGGGTATGGTTTAGTCATAGCTATTTTCGTGCACGGTAAGTCGCTTGTTTTCGAGACCGGCAATGTGGCACGAAACGAGTCAGTGTGAGTTATTAACAAACACCCGGCAGGAACCTCGGGAACAGGTTCTGCTGATCTCGTCTATAAAAACGAGTTCGAAAGCATATCTAGGTTGTTTAGGCAAAGATAAACATGATCAAGCGATAGCATCTTGGCACTTGAGCGAGGAGCCAAGGGCTAACGAACCAC